GCAAATGTTGCAAGACAGAACTAATCAATCACAGAGAGCATTCACTCACTTCTGACAGTGCATTCAAACAGGGCTGCGTTTCCCAAAAGTATCATAAGAAAGCATTAAAGCTTTTGGGAATGGCAGCCCTGAACAATGCTTATCAGAGGACAGAAGGACAGAGTTATTTCACAATAAACAAACTGAAATTGTAGCCTACATAGTTTGTGCAATTACAGTTATTTAAATTGAACGCTGAAAGATAATATTGATCATGTTCTATTCTGTAATGTTAATAGAAATCATACACTGTCAGAATAAAAAGGTTGCATTTTATGCACGTAACAGCCGGTCACTGGCAGTCCCTTATAAAAATGAACCATAGTTCAAATGTTACAAATAAGTTAGAATATTAATGTTGTAATACTGGTAGCACTAATATAAAAATGTGGTGATATATGTTACAATTTTGAAATATGTTGATGGTTTTATTTTTTTGTATTTGATCTCAGTATAGGTTGAGATCAAATACAGGTTAAAACGCGTTTTAAACAAAGTTAAGTGGTTTTCATTACCCATTTTACTCTTAGTAATTTAATAATTTAAAACATTTCATAATTTAAATGTTTAGTGCAGAAGTACCGAATCGGTATCGATATCGACGATACTGCCTTGAAAAATATCGGTATCGTATCGAAAACAAAATAAGGGGTATCGCCCATCCCTAGTGGGACTCCTACGCCCCATTCACACGGGGCGTCAGCGTCAACGCCTCTCGTTTACATTGAATGGAGTGATGTCAAGCGTTGGCGAAATTAATTGTGGGTCCGTCGCGTCAGGTCCGTTGCTCGCGGCAGAAGTTGGAAACTTTTCAACTTTAAGCGCCAACTCAGGCGTCAGCCAATCAGATGACCTTATGCAAATAACCTAGCGCAGACGCTAACCAATCGCTTTCATGCAACACCAGAAGACTTATGTGATTGGCTGTTGTCACTATGACGGTCGCGTCAGCACCAAGCTTCAGAAACGCCCTCCGTCAAGCGTTAACGCTGACGCCCCCTGTGTGAATGGGGCGCTATAGAGTAGCTTAGCGGATGACATTAAGAGGGTCCTTAAGAACTCAAAATAAAGTTAAAGTTAAACAATTAAATACATTTATAAATAAATGTATAACTAGATAAAAATGATTATGTATTTTACTCCATAAATAAAACACATAAATCTTGTGAATCTGATATGTAATGAAATTATGATATGTCCTGGTCCCTAGAATTCAGATCTCCAGGTAGATAAAAGTCTTTATTAGGGCTGGTGTGGTGACAGCCAGTGGAAAAAAAAAATGTGTGATATAACAGGCACACTGAGCCCATGGGAACAGATGAGCGAAAGAAGGGCAGCTCAAACAGATTCGCCTGCAGGCATCCACGCACGCACACACACACACACACACACACACACACAGAGAGACAGAGAGCAGTGATAATACTAGCTCAGTCTATTACAGGCTACACTTTAACTGGCTTAAGTTAACACAGTTTGCAACTAATTTAGAGCATGGAAGAAAAAAGAAAACTTTCATGGTATCCATACAACTTACAAACGTTCACCAAATTCTTATTTACAACAAATAAGTCAAAGTTAAAGGGTTAGTTCACCCAAAAATGACAATTAGTCCATGGTTTACTCACCCTCAAGGCATCCTAGGTGTATATTACTTTCTTCTTTCAGACAAATCCAATCGGAGTTATATAAAAAAATTGTCCTTGCTCTTCCAAGCTTTATAATGGCATGGGCAGGTGTTTTGTTCAACAGTCCAAAAGTAGTCAAATAAAGCACATCCATCCATATTAAAATGTGCCTCACACGGCTCCGGGGGAGAACAAAGGCCTCCTGTAGTGAATTGATGCTTTTTGTATAAAAAAATATCCATATTTAAAATGATATAAACAGTTTTGTGTAACTTCCGCTAACTTTCGTATGCGCGTTCACAAGAGACTTCCTTTTGAACATAGGTGTAGCCCACGTGGTGTGAGTCTCGCAAAAAAACAATGTTTGTTTACAGGAACAAAGGAAGCAAAGTTTCCTTACTTTAGCAAAGGAAAACCAGCCTCCTCTTGGCTTATATTCAAAATCCTCTGACATTTTTCTTTACAAATCCTCGTTTTGTGCTTCTAATTTGTGACCGCCGTTTTGTTTTTTTCTCTCTCCATCGTGTTTCCACGTTTGTCACTAATTACCAGCGCTTACACTACGCATATGTCCTATGTCATCGGCTGGAACGGCTTCCGCCTACGACAGTTAGCAGAAGTGAAAGAAAGGTGTTTATAGCATTTTAAATATGGATATTTTTCTTCCAAAAACACATCTATTTGCTTACATCTATTGGGCCTTTATTCACCCCCCAGAGCCGTGTGAGGCACATTTTAATATGGATGGATGCGCTTTGACTACTTTTGGACTGTTGAACAAAAATGAATGAATGAATGATGCACTTATATAGCACTTTGTGCACACACTAAGCGCTTTACAATCATGTGTGGGGGGGGGGGTCTCTCCCCAACCACCACCAGTGTGCAGTATCCACCTGGATGATGCGATGGTAGCAACAGTACAACGGCACCACCCCGCCCATGCCATTATAAAGCTTGGAAGAGCAAGGAAAATGTTTTATTTAACTCCGATTGGATTCATCTGAAAGAAGAAAGTCATATAACCTTAAGATGACTTGAGGGCAAGTAAAACATGGACTAATTTCCATTTTTGGGTGAACTAACCCTTTAATAACCATGACTGGAAAAAGTCAATAGTCCAACAATTTGGAAAATTTTAATAAAAAATTGTGGTTCCATTTTACCAGCAATCAATCAAATGAAACCAAAAGATAATGGTTCAAATTAATTCAAGATAGTATTTTCATTTATGGGTGAAATCTTCCTGTAGAACAGTGACAAGAAAAACCAACACAACAGAAACGCCCTTATACCTGCTTGTTTTATCAGAACAATCTGGGCAAGGTGAGAGTGCATAGTGTAAAATCATCATCAATGAAGGCAGTGTAAAGTCGAAACACGGCTTGACAACAGACAAATTTCACCTAAATTGACTAATTGCTTAAATTAACAACATACTTTCTTAAAGTAGTTTCCCTTTACAGAGTTTACCGGTTCTATGTGTTTGACATCAGCACTAACACAACATGGCTGAAGCTGTGAGACTGAATGCGTCACATAATGAACATTACTGTGGCATACTAGACAAAGAGGTCAAGGCTAAATGCTTGAACATTTTTGAAGGTGTTTGTTTTGTGTGTGATGGAGCAAAAAAAAGTGAAAGAGGAAGGTGTAGACACTAGACAGTTTAAACATAAAACATCTAAGCTAAGTCATGAAGACACACTGAGGAAGTGAGACCTGCAAGTGTAGCTGTATGTGTGATAGAGGATGGGTTTACAGAGCTATTTGTGAAACTATTTTTGATATGGAATAAAGTTCCAGCTTTCAAATTCTGCCAATTTCTTCACTAAATCAAACATTATAATATCACATAAACTGCTCTAAATATATAAAAACAT